GGGGCCGGGCACGGGGGAGCTCCCAGAGAAACTACGCTGGTGACCTCGGGGCTGGGGTGATGCGTGCGGAAGGAGTTCTGAGCCGCTTACACGAGATGTGCGCTCCACATCTGGAGTGCCGTGTCCAGTTCTGGTCTCCTTCGTACCAGAGCAGTGCAGCTCCTGCAGGTGCAGGAGAGGGCAGCGAAGGTGGCTAAGGGACTCTTAAGAGGAAAGTCTGAGAGAGCTGGGCCTGTTCAGCCTTGAGAAGAGATGACTGAGCGGGACCTCATAAATGTCTATAAGTACCCAAGGAGGGGATTCCAAGAGTATGGATCCAGTGGTAGGTGGGAAGCCATGGGACAAGAGACAATGGACAGAAACTGATGCACAGGAAGTTCCACCAGAATACGGGGAAGAATTTCTTTAGTGTGCAGGTGGCTGACCACTGGAACAGGTTGTAATATATGTTTGTGTAATTTGTGTTTTATTGTATATATAAGCAGAAAAAAGAATTAAAAATTGTTACAAATATCAAACACACATGCACAGCAAGGAATTGCAACACGACAGCCAGGAGCCGGAGAAGGGTAATTTGTAGAAGAACAGGATGTCACCAAGGAGAACAAGGCCCACCCAAGCAAGGACTTGGTGATTTACGCCTGATACTGACCTGATCTGATCCTCGGAATCATGCATCTCAATACTCAGTTCCCATAAAAACCACTCAAACATTTCCTCCCTTCTAGGAAACTTAGTTAACAAACCAACAGAAAATATGAATTTGCAATGAAGAAAGAAAAAACTAAGACTGCACAGCCTCAGGCTGTAAAAACTGTGTAAAAACTCATCTCTCCGAAGGTGGTGAACTTGGGGGAATCAGTGCGATAAAGGCTGATTCAGAGTTCACCCAGCACCGATCCTGGGCTCGACGCTAACTGTGATTATGGTTGTTTCCATAACTCAATTTTGCAAATTTTTCAATAAAATTATTGTTGATGAATTTGGCTGATTTTATTTTTAAGAAGGTTGTCATGGAGTTTCCCTCACTGGAGATATTCCAGACCTGTCTAGACACAATCCTGTGCCATGTGCTCTGGGCTGACCCTGCTTGAGCAGAGAGGTTGGACCAGATGATCCATTGTGACCCTTTCCAGCCTTTCCTGGTTGATTCTCTGTGAAGTTTCAGCCAATGTGGCTGATTCAAACTTTCTAGGACTTTGTACTTAAGAGTTTTTGAGCAATCCTTGTTATAAATGAAATCTTTCTGTTTTCTTCCCAGTTATTAATTGAATCTGTCATAAAAATAATTTAATATGTAATACTGGAATTTTGTTCATGCATGTGTCTATGCCTAGTTAAAATCCTTATCTGTAGGCAGAGGAAGCTTATGTTCCTGTCTCCACTTATTTCCATGGAGCACTCAGCTGAAGATGAAGAGGAGTAATTTTTGATATGTTTTTACAATCATCTCCAGTCATCTCATGCCTGGAAATTTCATTGTAGGTAGTAGGGAAATGTGAGAAGACACATATTGTGCAGAAGTAAAAATGGCTGCAGATAAAAACAACAATAAGATTGTGAAGCAAACACGTCAGGATCCCAACTAAAATTTGCCCTGCTGCTCTCTGAGTCAGCGTATCTGCATGCCTGGTAGTAAACAAATTGAAAAATGTCCTTTAATTGATAGATGATTACTATTTATGTAAGCATATTTTGACAAACCTGTGGGACAATCCCTCTCCCCATTCTCCCTGTCACCTCACAATAGAAAATATGTATCCAACAGGTCACTAGCTTCCTGCTGGGGCAGCCTCAATTCCACCCATGTCATGCTTCCTCTAGGCCTTCAGATGTGCCTTACCTGTACAGATGGATGGTCTCCAGGGTGTAAGTCAAATTCAGGCTGTTTGAATATGGCCAGAACTGTCCTTCCCCACCTAGAAAATCAGAAAATCAGCCTACACATCCTTTTCAGTGCTTCAGGTGTCTTCTTACTGTACTGTTTTGCATATATTCCTCTTGCTCCAGGCTGCTGCAGGCATGGTTGTGTCTCCAAGCTCTCATACAGAACATCTGAGGCAATGCCATTTGCGCATTCAAGCACTCAGGTCCCTCTGCTAATCACACTCTTGTCTGGCCTGGACATGGTAAAATTTGGCATATACACATCCATGATCAATCATTTCCTTCAGCTGTTCAGAATGAACAGTCCCACACTGTACTTATACCTCACACCTACACCCCCGTGAAAGAAACTGGAGTTTTGTAGCTACATCTGTAGTTCTAAATACATTGGGGAAAAGGTTTAATGGTAGAACACTGATTCTCTATAATGCTAAATTACTAGCAAGTGTTTTGGCATATTTCTGGCCAAGACCAACCAGCATATCCACAGCAGTGACCAGAAGAACACCAGCACACACAAGGACTGATTCCAGTAAGAAGTTGGATTTGAGTTCTTCCTCCCATGTGTCTTCCAACACAATCCCAACAGGGTCTACAGCATTAGAGCCCTCACTGTCCTCCTGTCAGGTCCCAAAGCATGTAACACATCTTCCAATTTCACACCATGTAAACAGCAGTTTTGTGGGCCACAACAGCTTTTCTGTTATATCAGAGATTTTGAAATAAAGGAGACACAAAAATGACAACAAAGTATTATAGCCACAGTGCAGTAATTACCATACAGAGCCTCGAGGAAACCCTCAGCACACACACCACATAGGGTACATGTTTAGACTCTTGGTCTGAGGTCCAGAAGTCATTCCCTAGATCTATTCTGTTCTGTGGTGTAGGCAGGGCATGTATGGCTTACACCCAGGGCTGGTAAGGAAGAGCCAGCACATTTTTACCCTGAGTGCATTCAAGTGAGGCAGGGCCTCCCATACCCCTGATATGGCAGATGAAGTTATTCAGGTGAAAAACGGCACCTGCAAGCTTGCACTGTCTGTAATCACCAAAAAAATGAATGAGCAATTGCTTCAGGGAGTGTTTCTCCCTAGACAGACAACGTTTCTGAAATATTAAGGAAGAGCAGAGGCAACAGAAGTCAGGAGAGAGAGAGAGCAACAGGAGAAGAGTGGGCCATTTGCTCCCTCCCACAGAGCCAGCTAGGTCTCTGCAAGCAGCTGTGCCGGTTTCTGACCAACATCAATATGTCAATTGTGCTTCTCAAAAATCACAAGCCTACTTTGGGTCTGCCCCCCGCAGGCATGTAACTGTGGGCAATTCTGCATTGGTATTGACAGCTGGGGCACTCAGCAGCAACACAGGGAGCAGCCACAGCCCTGCCAGCCACCCCCTGCGGCAGTGTCATATTGGACATCACTGCAATGGAAAGGTTAGAGGAAACCTTGTTGAAAAGAGAAAGGGCTGACTTTATGTTTAGGCAGCGCCCGGGGCTGCAGTGGGACAGGTTTTAGGGTGGGAGTGCAGAAAGAGTGTTTGAAACTGCGTCTCTGCTTCCTCTTGTTGGCAGAACAGTGTGAAGCTACTAGCTTGGTGGTGGAATTTGACCTTGTCTGTTTGGGAGACCCACCCCCCGCCAAGTTTGGAGCATCTGTGCATGGAATATGATGAGGATGATGATATTTTCTTTGCAAAATGGATGAGCAGCTTCTGGGGCCACAGCTTGGCAGATGAGGAGAAAGAAGGCAGAGGCCACAAGAAACATCAGCCACGACTCTGTAGTGAAAGGAGGGCATCCCTGCCGGTAAGAGCTGTGTGCAGCGTTCTCTGTGTGTGCACGTGGTGTATATATTAATATAAACTCCATCCCCAGAGGCACAGCACCAGGGATGTATGAGTAGTATGGGACACTTTGCCAAGTAAGTTCAGTTCCTGCTAGCTGCTTTTTGAACTTAGCTGTCTGACAGGGTCAATCCTCTGGAGCCCTGGAATACAGAAAACTGGCAGACTCCAACATAGTGTTGATAGGACCAGAAATGGAAGGAGTAGTGTGTAATAGCTGCCTCACTGTGTATTACAGTGTTGTCCTGGCTGCTCAGCACAGCCTGGCAGAGATCAAAACATTTTGCACCTACATACATAAAGACGTCTGTAACTAATCTGTTCTCATGTAAAAAACTGTATAACTCCATATGTATTAAAAGGATTTGGACCCAATTATGCAACAATATGGTCTCCAGGAAGTTTTACCCTTTACCCCTTGGGACTTACCTGTTTTCAGGTAAGTGTAACTTCTATTTTAATCTAGAGGATTTGAAAACAATGATACAACACATAACAAAGCTTACTAAACTGTGAAGTAAGATTTTAAGGTAGAAGTACATTCTTTATTCTTAAAACAAACCAGTTGGGAAAGGGGCAGGTTCATGTGCAGAAGGCAGCTCACAACTGTCTAAGTGATTATCAAAATCAAGTTAAACTGAAAACAGCTGTTTACAGTATTCTCTTTATTCAAAGATTGTTGCTTTGATTTCAGCTTTTAAAAGACCATTTAGGTGGTCCAAACCTGACTCCTTTTTTTCCAGCTACATCAGTTGTCTTAATAAAGATATTTTGTTTCCTTACAAAGCACTTTTTACTTATATTCTTAGATCATTATGGCTGCAGTGAAGCAAATACTAATATATTGGGGAGGAACAGCTAATCTTTTCCAAACTTTTTCTTGTGCCATTCTGTTTCTGCCTTGCAAGTTCTTCTCTGCTGCTGTCAGTTCTAAGCTGTGGGATTTTTCATTTCCAAAACAAATTGGGTAAGAAAAGCAAAGTAGTCCAGAACCACTTCCTCCCTCTTTGAATTCATGGATAGGCTGGAGAGGTAACCTTCTTTCCTAATTTCTGGTCTGATCAGCCACATTTGTTATTTACTCTTACATGTCACCTCAGCCACAGATTGCAAGACAGACTCTGAGCTAGAGCTTTGCTGCTGTGTTCCATCAGACTGCTGAATACATAACATTCATTTATGGGAAGGGAAGGAGGTGAATTAATTTTACTGTATTTTACTTTTTTCACTCAGATACCCACGCATATGTGATTTCTTTAGGCCTCAAGAGAAACTGGAGTGTAAGAATGCACTTTAAATCTCTTTCCATTCAGCAAGGTGCTGAACACATCTTGGATATTTTTGTCTGTATTTGTGTGTGCACAGACATATAATTTGAAGCATGTCCTTATATTCAGTTTGTTCAAAAGCTATTTAAATATTTAGCTAATAGCTATTCAAATACTTTGCTATATTTGCATTCCTGAATCCATACCTAGAATTTAGGTTAAGTTAGCTGACAGACTATGATTTTTTGATGTTACTGTTTAACAAGCTAAACATATTGTGTACACTTAATTATATCAGGCCTTTACATTAGTGCTTCATACGAATTTGTCTTGCTCCACTAGTTTCATATAGAATATGTCAATTTTAACTGCTTTATTTATTGGTGTCACATGTTGACTGGAAGAATGAGACAGGAAGATTTGTCTGGGGATTTTATGATCTGGGGATATATTTTGAAATGAACTCTTGATTTGGAAGTTGAGTAGTTGGCAGTAAAGAATGCTAGTATATGTTGTCTAACCCAAGCCAGAAGTTAAACAAATGGGCACTACTGATGCCTTAGAAATACCTCCAGAATGAGCATCTCCTTGTTGAGAGCAGTAACTTAAGAGCTATTGCACCTGGATGTGTGTTTTTTGCACAGTTACTCCAAATTATAACTGCTTTAAGATCCATTATTGCAAATTATAACTGTTGTAAGATTCAAAACACTGGTACTGTTATTTAAATATTGTCTTCGTTTTATAAGAACAGTGCTAATTATCAGGAGGAATAATAACTGAGATTAGAGTGCATCTTTTCTGAAAGCTAATACCTCCACAGCAGGTCACCATGTACCTTTTCTTCTGTCTCAGCATTGAAAATTGAGGTAACTCCACTGTCTAGATGAAAATCAAGTCAGCAAATTCTGACACAGCAGTTGGGAAAAGCTCCGTGTGCAGGTACAATGGTACTGCCAAAAGAGCACTGCCAGCTCACTTGGTCTCATAGCTAAGGCTGGTATTCAGGGCATCAGCAGCAGAGCAGTCCTGCCCACGCTTCTGCACCATGAGCCTTTTGGTGCTGCATAGCAAAGTGCTCTCAGGGTAGCACAAAAGGTAGTTCTGCTGGAAAATCACTTTCAGCTCCAAACTGGTATGTTGGTCTTCCTAGTTTTTCCTGTGCCCTTGTGAGACATTCAAGCCACTGCTCCCACCTCAAAGACAAAAATAAACTCCTGTGGTATCCTATCGTGGTACAGACCCCATCTTAAATATGGATAAAGCTAAATATCCTAAATACCCATATCTTAAATATGGATAAATATGGATAAAGGAAGAATAACTCCCAAACTAACAACAGTGGTTTTTTTTGTTGTTTTTTTTTTTTCTCTCCCCCAATGTCTTGGTATACTTCACAAACACTACTGAGATAAGCTTTGCAAAATGCTTTTGCTATTGTGATTCACACTTTGCAGAGGGGAACACAAAATTATATTTGTCTTTCCCTAGGTCACTTGCAAGTCAGGCTAAAACAACATGTAACTCCACTCTCCGGGAAAGCTCAGAGCTGTGTATGTTACTGTGGGCCAACACTGAATGCAAAAACTGCCTGGGGATAATTAAGTGAGCTGTTTCCATGGCCTTTATTTAACTTGTTCCCTTGGCAAACTTTAGACAAATTAACTGTGAAACCCTTTTTGAAGCCTCCAGCTATGACTTTCCTTGACACGTTCTAGTTACCCTACATTCAGAACACTCCAGACATTTTGTTCTAAGGAAAAGATTGGAGACAAAGGAGAACTGATAAGAAGTTTATAGCCCTATACATGTATCCACCTTCAAACAGACATTGTTGCTCATAGGAGAAAATTGCTTGGAACAGCTGAGAGTGGTAGCAGAACAGATGATTGCTATTGAAGTTACTGACATTTAATTTAAACTAAACTTAGACTGAACATCTACCACAATGTTGTTACTATAGACCAATTGAAGGCCAGACCAAAACATTTTTAAGAAATATATGCTTGTCTTTAAGCTTCTCAGAAAGAAATAAAGCCACAGGAGAGCATCTGAATGTCAGATGTTCCAAAATATCCCTAAAATACTCGGGTCATTGTGTAAACTCCAGCAAACAATGAACATTTGTGCTGACACACTGAAGATTAATGTTCTTACTGACAGCTGTGCAACCTCTCAAGCCCAAAAGATGTAAACAATTAACTTGTCTACAACAGACACTGAGAAAGAGATAAGACAAATTATGCTGACAACAATTTTTCTTGTGTGAAGGAATTTTTTTTTGTGTACCTTTTGTGTGTTTGAGATGGGCAATTAGCAGATTAGCTGTTTTGTAAATAGATACAGTGAACATGAGTGGCTTTTACCCAACACAGGAAAAAGGAGTACTAAGGGATTGAGAAACAATCCCTGAGATCGGTTGGTGCTTCTGGCTTTCCCCACACTGGCAAAAAATCCCCATTTTGATAGTGGAGAATTTAATGTATCATGCAAAGGCGCTGTGAAAGAAAACACAGACGCAGTAATATGATTGCACAGACCTGTCTGTGTAGCTTTACGTTTAGCCCACTGAGGCAAATGGGCATTTCAGAGGACACCTTGTCTCTTTTCTGGACCATTCCTGCCATATCAGTAGGTAAACCACAGGTTTTTTGTTAAGGGCTTACCTGAAATTCTATCTGTGGAGGGAAATTAAAAAACGTCTTAGTAAAAGAAAACATTTGCAGACTTTGAAAAACAAGATTGATAGAATACAATCCCCCATTTCAGCTATCTTCCTGTGTTTGGTTTGTTGTTTTTTTCCCAAACCCTCTAGGAACAGATACCAGTGATTTTTTACCATCAGACTGTTTTTATTTCCAGGAAAGAATATATGTTGATGCTATTAAAATCAGAGAGAAGACATTTAGCTTGTTGAGCCTGGTATGGCATGTGTGCTCCTGTCCCTCGAGCACAATGTGATTGGTTTGATGCTTTCTAAAGCAACAATACAATATGACCTTACAGAACTTGCAGCTGTATTGACTGGTTTGAAACCAAAGTAAAAATAATATGGCAAAAATCATTTACACTACTCTCAGAGACAGTCCATAATACTGGACATAGTAAGCTTATGCCTGGGAAAAAAACTGGAACCAGTACCATGTATTTTGTAAACACTCTTCAATGTCAGGTACTTCTGTCAGGTGTGAGATTTATTATTTTTAGCATCTCTCATCAAGCCTGTCTAGTCTGATGTAGCCATATGAATGCACAGCCTCTCTGTTCAGAGAAAGGCTGCATTGGTCACAGTTGTTCCAGTACATTTATAGTAGCATCTGGGCCAGATTGAATGAAGTTGTGTGCAGGACATGTTTCAGGTCCCTTACAGTCCAAGGTTTGTAGCTTCATGTGTGCACAGCCAAGTTGTTTTAGTTTTCCCCTGTTTGTTAAAGTAACAAAACAACCAATGCACACACCACAAACTACTGCTCTGAGTGTAGGATTTTCTACTGGATTTTCTTAGAAAACATTACAGAACTGGTGGGATAAACCTTCCTTTGTTATAAACAGTCACAGCTCCCTTAAAGCCAGCAGAACTTCTCAGGGTTACTTAATAGCTGAAGGCTCAGCACCAGGGTTATACAAAACAGAATCACAGAATCAATTAGGTTGGAAAACACCCCTGAGATCATCAAGTCCAGCCCTTGACCATGGCACTGAGTGCCATATCATGTCTTTCCTTAAAGATCTCCAGGGACAGCGACTCCACCACCTCCCTGGGAAGTACATTCCAATGTCTAATCATCCTTTCTGTGAAGAAATTCCTCATAATGTCCAAAACATATACGCACTCAAAACTGTATGCAGTAGCTGGATGCTTGGAGTGCTTTAATCTGACAGCTGCAGGGGTGTAATTTTCAGTACCTCCCATCTCACACAACTTTCACCATCTGCATCTTGCCAGTGTTCAGCTACTCATCCTGAAAATCATCAACAGCTGGCAGGGTTTGGGGTATCCATGGCTCTGTATGGCGTCCTTCTCACACCTCTCTTCTACAGGTCTGTCCCTTTCTAAAACCACCAATACATGATTCCACAGCAGTTCTGTATCAGTTTAATCTCCTTTGCAGACATTCAATTAAACACAGCTGATGCAGATCAATAGCTTTTATCTGCATGCCAGACTTTGGAAAATTGAATCACACCGAAACTAAACAACTGTCTACTCACTACCCACTTCAGTCTTGCAAATATAATTGCAGAAGTCTGTTTCCTATTGTTCCTTTGGTAGGGATGTATCCCTCAGTATCCTGGAAGTGCTCCTTCATTAGTTCAAGACAAATGTGCCCAAGAAACCAGCAGAAAATTCAAAGCTGTGCAATAAGGCATCTTGTCTGCATGTAGGTTGTGCTGGAAACTTGGCAGAACTGGGTGAGGAATGGTTGCTGTCACACTCTAAACTCAAACAGCTGATAAGACCTGGAGCACTGTGGGTCAAAGCTCTTATCTGACTCATCTGGCCAAAAAGGCTGCATAATGCTTTTTCGAGAGTTCTGCCAAGAAACTGCAGCCAGGGGTAAGGCCTGAGTTTTTGAGGTTATGAAGAGTCCCAGTTCCTTTTAGTGTCAGTGAGCACTAAGAGGACCCAGCACACTCTACATTTGAAATGTTCATTGTGTGCCAAAACTTAAATCCTCACACCCAGGAATAATAGGAAATTCTGCCACTGCTGCCTCCAGAAAGCAAGTTCTTGGCAGTGGGATTCTCCTAACTTGAAAGATACAGAATTGTGGGGAAGGTCCTTCACTTTGCAGTACTGTTTGGGAGAGTTTCTGTGGCAGAAAAAAGTCTGCCTTGTGAACACTATTTTGCTATTCGATAGTCAACAAAGATATTTTGTTTTTCAGGCCAAGCTTTCCTCCCTCCATGCAACACGACTTCATGCTTCTGCCAAAGGCTCATCTTCAGGCCACCTCAGGGGCTCCAAGGAATTTCAAGAAGACCAAGATGTCAAATGCCACTTCCACAGTAAGGCAAGCAGAACACCTTCAGCAGACAGCTCGTGTCCAGAGACAAGATCAAACTCCATTCAGGAATTTGCAGAGTCCTTTGAAAAGCAACTGCATCTCAAAAGCAAACGCTCAGTTTCTTTGGTAGGTAACTTAAGATCATTACAGAAGAAAAAAGCCCAACCAACCAAGTCAGCTTCATCCTTTGTGGAAATGCTGTCAATTTGCTGGGGGAAGTGCAGAAATAAACTCCAATTGGAATTTCATATTATGTGGTTTCAAATTACTACAAGTAGCACAAACAAGGTTAAAGTTGTATCATTAGTGTGAGGATTCTTGATGCAGTGTTACTGTCTAGGCTTGTTCAGGAATGTTTATCCTCAAAATGAGACACTGCACTGGCTCATGTGGCAATGTTTTCAGAGGTTTCTATGGCTGTGGCCGCAAAACATGATGATACAAACCCAGGTTTGCTTCACTCCTGCTGCAAGGCCCAGCTCACTTTTTCACTGCTGCTGACCTCACTTAACCTGTGTGGAGTTATCTGTAATACTGCCAGACACTGCAGTGTTTGAGAGGCTTCTCATTTACCCCTCAGGACTCCATCCATCTGCTTTCTGCAGTGTCACCACACATCTGCAGCAGCAGCTATTGCTGTAAGTGGTGGAACATATTTCCACTGAAAGGGCATGCAGGCAACAGGGGATTCTCCTCCCATTTCATCCTTCCCCCCATCATTCTGTCAAGAGTCATGAGCATTTCATCTGGTGTGTGTTGATGAAGTAGCCAATAACAACTTTTTGTCTATGACACTTTAATATATTTTTATTATTATGATACATGCTATCTGCTGTATCATGCAATGGAAGAAAGAGTAATAAATCCTAACTCACTTTTAAGTATCAGAAAAACACTATCAAATTGTCTCTCCATTCAAAAAACTGTGCTTGAATAACACCTGACATTAGCATCAAATAATGACAGAAGAAAGCATCCTTTCTTTCCAGTTTCTTGACACTGACAATTTGTAAGGGAAAGTAATTTTCAACTCTCTTTGCACAGCAAAAGAAGGGAAAAAAAGTTTCTTTTCAATAAGAAGCATAATTACATGATCAGTCCCATAATTATAGTAATTGCATGACCAGGTCTCTAAGAATATGCAGAATTATGATGATGATGCCAGTACTGTTACACCATTGTAAAAATTTCAAGTGCATTCTCTAATCTTCTTTTTCCTCTTCAGCAACTATTCAATTTATTTCATTTGGAAATTTACATTGCCTCATGTGCCAACGTTCACCGTTGGTTGTCTGGTTTATCACTTATAATTCCTCAAAAGTGCCTGTGGCTAGAAAGACTGAGTGTGTAGTTGATGTATGATTAGGTAGAGTGAGCATAATGTATTAAATATGGCTTTGGTTCCAGTTAAAAGCATGGATTCCAGTGCCCCCCTGTAACCAGCAGTGAGGTATGCTGAGCTGTATTTTACTCTGTTTTTCAAGCAGACCAAGTTGTTGCCATTCCCTCAATCACAATTGTAGTTTGGGAGATGTGAAGGACTTGTGAATCTCAAAGAACTGAGCAATAGGTTAAAGATCTGAAAGGAAATTTGGGCTCAAACCTGTGTCTCCAAATGGAGCATTTTTTTGCATTCAGAGCTCTGTGGGTACAATTCAAACCACCATGATCAGATAGGTGAACAGGGTGGGAAAGGTAATTCATCTCCTTCCTGGCATATTTCTTTGCTCGTACAAATGTGTCTTTGAGAACCCTTCAGATCTTGTTTTACAGTGAGGTCTTTGCAGTTAGCACTGAACAACCTTCAGGGATGTAAAGATGGATCACATGAAAGGTTAGAAAGATGGAGTCTGGGCTGAAATCTCAGTGCCACTCCCTTTATCCCTCCTGTTTGCTCTCCAAGTCCCCTGAGCCTGTGACCTTCCTATCATATACAGGGTAAAACTGAAGCATGTGTGCTGATTCTTGCTGAGATTTTAGGGGGACAGGCTTGGACTTTGAATTTGAGCCCATCATGGTAAAGCTGATTTTGGTGAGGCAGGTTTCTGCAATATTTTGTTACATAGTGAAACAAAAGAATGAGCTTTTTTTGTTTGTTTGCTCTTAGAGTCTCTTTTAATTTCCTGCTATTTTTTTCCCCTGCCTTTTAGCAACCTGAAGGTGCAAAAGAGAGACGAGAAAGAGAAAAATTGCATTTGAGAAAAAGCAAGTCTCATAAGAAAATGGGAGAGAAATCAGAGGCAAGGAGAGATCGGGAAGAAGCTGAAAGTTCAGAAGTACCTGCAAAACACAGCCAACATTTTCCATCACAAGCAAGCATTCAGAAAGGCTATGTATGCACAGGAAGCTAGACTGCATTAAGATAATCAAGCTTAACACTCCCCCTGAAGAGCAGAGGGGGCATTCTTGTTCTGTTTTGACTAGGAGAGGCCTATTAGCTAGAATAACCCCTAAGCTGTAAAATAAAAGTAAAATTCAACTGCAGCACTGGCACCATGTTACTGCTACTTCCTTTCTTTACTTTTGTCATTACAAATGTGACCTTTGTCATAGGAGTGCATCAGTAGCAAGATCCAAGTTAGAGATTAACCATGATAAGAGCATTTAAGGCATATTCAGCATTGCAGCAGAACAGTGGTGGATGTGTTCCTGTAAGAGGAGACCACCACCTATGTATTGCAGAGCCATGCAAAGCCTTATGTCTCTTTTTAATTGAAAACAGGCTTTTTGGTAGGTTTGGGAAGAAAAAACACACATAAACAGCCAACTGCTCCCTGGCCCTGACATTCACTTAGATTTCTCTGGAAAACAGGTATCTTTTTGCTCCGATAATCTTTCAGCTCCAAATTCATGTAAGAGAAGCCCATGTTCTCTTCTACACCTGTGCAGTATGACTCATTTCACTGGTATCTCCCAGCCCTCTCCCATGTCCTTAGTCCCATTTCCCCAGTCACACAACTAGTTCTTTCTCCCAACTTTACCCTTGTTACCTTGCTTCTTTTGTGGCCTTTCCTCTCTTCATTTACTACTTTACTGCCAAGTAGCTACCAACCTCTTTTGCTACATCTCTACTTTTGCTTCTTCATCAACATCTGAGCCTTGCTGAAAATTCTCCAGTAAAACCAGAGATGTTCTGTCTCTCTGTCACTCTCATATTTCCATATAATCTCTTCAAGAGATTGCTGAGGCACTGCAACCCTTTTTCCTTTCCCAGAATTTGGGCCAAACTGGCTGTCTATGGCAAGCAGGACCTAGGAAAACTCTGTTCCTCTGGCAGAGGATCTCCTAAACACAGGTGTAAATCACATCTCCACATGCTCACAAACACATACACACTCCCACAATTCCCCTATGCCTCCCTTTCTTCAAAGTGTCAGTGTTCTCTGCAGATACAACCCAGCTCTCTGTGGGAACAATCTCCCCAAGCCTAGTATGGAGAAAGCCTCATTTGGATAATTCAGTTAGAGAAGAGTGATAACTAATGAAGTCATGAATGAAAATTGAGGTCTGATGGATATTCTTCTTGTGATTTTTCTGTAATTAAAAAAAATCTTATTAATTTACCTTAGAGCCTTACTTTTGAATATTCAGCCCTTTAAAAGCTTAGGGCATTTTTTTTTAATTTAGGGCTTTGGGGGATATATAAGAAAGCAATCGAACCCTTACTGATGCTTGTAAATTGCTTCTTGCCTGGTAACATATATTATAAACTAATAAATCTAATAATGGAAAAATGTTGTTCCTATGCATAGCTCCTGTCCTTCCCAATTGATATTTAATTTTTACAAAGTTTTTCTGTCCACCAAAACTTAAATACAGATGACTTTTCCTTTACAGCCTTAATCTGAAGACTGCATTACAAAAGGTGTGGGTAGAAAAGAACGTGGCCAGCAGCATCTGAGCTCCTCAGATGAGCCCTCTCACATACATCCTTTCAGGCAGCAGCCTGTCCTCACACCTTGGGAGAGCTGAATGCTGTGGCTGCATCAGCTTTGCCTGGATTTCAGGATGGAGGCCATCAGCTGCCTCCTCCTGTTTTACAGACAGGTTAACTCAACAGGCCCCAACAGAATTTGCTTGTATTCATCACACCAACGTGCTGGTTGTACACCACACCTGATGGAAAACACCAAACAGCTAAAACAGGAGAGCCCTGTGTGGCTGCCTCTGACTTGCTGGTTACCATCTCCCTGAAAGCACACAGAAGCCTCACTGCCACCAGGGCAGCTCTGCCTGCCAACAGCTTCCCTGTGTTTCACCTAATCCCATCTCTCTGATGGGAGAGTCTGTGAGTGTTTGAACCGGCCCATCAGCCCCATGGTGTGACTCTGGAAACAGAAGCTTTCACACAATGCCCTCTATTTGCTCAAAATCATTCTCTCTTGCTTTGTATCACAGCTGATTAGACCAACAGCCCTTTGCAGTTCAGTCCCTTCCAGTCTGAGGCAGTAGTATTACTTAGATGGACTGAAGCTTGCATGACAGATTGAAAGCATTCTCCACAGAAATTAATTAATATTCCATAACAAATTGGACATTTGGGAAGGCAGGTAGCCATCCAAAGACGATTGTCTTTGTTGATTGCAATGGCACGTCTGATATTTGTGTTTCCACAGGAGGTGGAAAATGCAAGAAGTCAGAAAGACTCCAGAGGGTTTCCATTCTCACAGCAGGTCACTAGTTCTCTTGTGACTGACAAAAAAATAGTCACTGCCTTGATTCCATCCTGAATTCCCAGAGCAACGGGGCTGCCTGCAGGCAGCTTCTGCACAAACACCCATTCCTGAGCAAACACTGTTTGCTTTTTCTGCCCTTTCCAAGAGTGGGATGGCTGCAAGTTGTATCAGAGTCCAAACCCTGGATCTCATGGAGGTCAGGCTTCAGTGGGAAGTGAAGAAAAAGGGATGAAAAAATCCATATGCTCATTAACAAGAAACATTGAAAGCATGAAACAGAAAGGGGAACGAGCAGGAAAACTGATGTGATTCAGGGATCCATGAAGGAAATATTAAACTTGCTGTGTCTCACAAGTGGAAGATCATGGCCTGATAACATGCTCATCCCTGTGGATTCTTCCAGCAGTTCAAGGCTAGCTGGAAGTGCTCCTGTGGGAAAGGAAGATGTGGGTACATACAAACCTTTCAAGAGCGAGAGAGGCTTATACCCTAGTCTTTTCTGAGAGGGCTTAGAAGAGGATATCAGTTGTGGCTACCTCATCTGTCAGGTGGGCAACCCCAAAGCAAAATGTTTATGCTTGCTTTTCAGGTGTTATTGAATTGCAGAACAGTTTGGAGGATGAATTAAATTTTGGGTGCTGGTTAACTTATCATGTATCAGTATATGAAATGCCACACAGGTAAAATGATGTAACACCTGTATGTATGTACATGCTCACAACAACCCTTTCTGGGCAAAAAAATGGGAAATATTTAAATGCATTAATAAAAAAAATGAAACAACCACGGTGTATGACTGAAGAAGAATATAATACATATTAAAAAAAATATTGAATACAAAAAATATTAAAATATTCATTGGCAGGTTTTTGTTCTTTAGCATAAAAAATGGCATTCAAGTAAGCACAGCCCCGGCTCTGAATGCACTCAGTGTACATGGGAATTTTGTGAAACAACGCAGACGTATAATCAAGCTTGATAACTTGTTTTGGGTTACAATGCAAGATGTAACCAAAAGTATGTATTGCCAGCTGTTAAAACCAGGTGAGGCGGTGCTCTTTATCTCTTCCACTCTTTCCTCCAGGGGGATCTTTTCTGTTAATGGGCCATTGAGTCTCTCTGCATGACTGATGAAATTACATCATCCCTTCGTGAGATGCTCCACCCAGGGGGAGGAGCCAAGCATTCCTACCTGGATTTTTATTTTAATTTTCCTAGTAAAGAACTGTTATTGCTATTCCCATATCTTTGCCTGAGAGCCCCTTGATTTCAAGATTATAATAATTTGGCGGGAGGGGGCCTTACATTTTTACATTTCAAGGGAGGGTCCTGCCTTCCTTAGCAGACACCTGTCTTTTCAAACCAAGACATAACTGAAATTATTCACACAGCAATGAATCATAATCACAGGACTTTGAGCTTATCACAGCTTTCTGCCAAAACTGTTGTAAACAAAAAGGTCTTGAAATGTTTCCAGAGAGATATTACAGCCAAAATCTAGTCATTCAGTGAGGGAATTGAACACTGAAATTCAACAATCTTGATAAAGAATGCCCTGCCTGCAGTTGTTGTGCCAGAGCTTTAGGTAATTGTGTGAGAACAAATGTGAAAATAAACCCACTCATCATAGAAAACATTGCTCATAGCAATGTTGTTTTAGACTGGCTTGACAGATGCTATTGCTCCTCTTAGGAGGATCTCAGCTCTATATCTACAATTCCTTGGAAAAAGATAATTTCTCTCTGCTGTGTCTTGTCCCTGAGGTCAGACTGAAAATAAGAGAAAGAAATGATACAATGAGCATCAATATTCTGTCATACTGGATGCATTCTTGTCCTTCTTATATGTTTACCAAAATGCTTCAGTTCATACAATTTCTAAACTGACAAAACTTTTGGTGTATTGAGAAGACCAACCAACTTGTGGCAGCTGTACATGAATTTTCATCAAAAAGCCATCAAGGCCCTTATAGAGAGTCCTCAGACTGCAGAGTTAGTCCTGCTCTAGATAATGAAGTATCAAAAAAGAATTATTTTTTTTTCTCTAAATCTTGAGCAGAAAGATTCATGGATGTGGTTTCCTGCAGCCATATCCCAAGATATGAGGCAAATGCTAAGTTTGGCCCTTTGAAAAGCAACCTTTCCTGGACTATTATGCAATGGCTCTCATTTGATATACTGCTCTTCCTGTATACACAAAATACTTCTTCAATGTTTCTCATAAGCTTTTTAAATATAGTGGGTCTACTCCCTGAGAACTCCTATACAGAGAAATTTGTCTGTCAGAAAGCAGCTACGGTGATTTCAGATTAGCACAAGTTTATGCCTGGCAGAGAGGAATGATTAGGACATTTATTTCCCCCAGCAGTCCCAGCAGCAATAAAAGATCCTCAGGGAGAACAAAATCACTTCGGGCTGCTTTCACCTGTGCAGAAGTGGCAACCACAGTTTAGCCCAGGATTTGGGAAATATATAATATATTCATGAGTTCCTTCTCTATTGTGCCAAGTTCTACATGCCCACAGCTGCAGATGAGGCTGTTTCATCTTCTGTTCCTTTAATGCCTTTTGCATGGAACAAAAGGACTCTCACATTGGGATAATCCAGGTCTCAACTGATCAATGGGCATCAACCATAATGTCCATCACTCAGGATACTCACTGCAGTGTGATTTCCTAATCCAAAGCAATTCTGAGCTGAGCGTGTTTCAGACTGATAAAAATTTCTTCTCAGTTGAAGCAAGAAGATTTGGATCCATGTGCAATTTCTCCTGGTGTCTTGGGGACTGACTGGAGCAAAGAACTTCACTGCATGCACAGCTTTCATAACGAGTTGTTATGGTGAACTCTCAGAGCCTTATTTTCTGTTACTTGCAATACAGAGAGTAGAAGAACGACAGATCTTGACTAAACCCTGAGTGCTGGTGACTGAGAGGTGATACATCTGTGTGTTGAAGTTGCTG